GCTGATTTGCCCCCTGAATCTTGTTCCAAAATTCTCGTCTCTGTCTCAACCCGCCAATGGATTTGCATGCATCGTGATACTCTCAATTTTGATCTGCTCCTTCGGTCGATTCTTCTTATCCACCTCAACCTTCTCCATCTTCGCCAATGTCGCCATACTATCATCTCCCAGTACATGCCCAAAAACCGTATTCTTGCCGTCCAAATGAGGCGCCTTGTCGAAGCAGAAGAAGAACTGGCTGCCATTCGTGCCTGGTCCCTTATTTGCCATGCTGACTATTCCTCGGGCATTGTGTCGTAAAGTTGGGCGGATCTCATCTTCGAATGGCTCCTCCCAAATTGATGCGCCTCCTTTAGGCAGAGAGGGAGGGGCTCCGGTTTGAATCATGAAATTTGGGATTAGTCGGTGAAAGGCAGAGCCATCGTAATAGCCCGAGGCGCATAAAGCAAGAAAGTTCTAGAGCTAGGTTAAATTTGCGCAGAAGAGCTTTGACTTTGCTTACCTCTGCTGTCTTTGGTACACTTTCACAGAAGACTTCGACCTTGATGTCACCGAGATTCGTGTGTAAAGTGACAGACATTACGGACAGTGCACACAAGTGTGGTATTTTGGCATTGGTGTGGTGTGGTGTGCTGTCGAAGGAATGTCGTAGGGCTGAAGGATCGCGGATGTAAACACAGAGCAGCCCGCGGCCCCGCCTTCTGGTAGTTGCAGCGCTAAATTGTGTTGGCTGCGACCTGCCGGGGAACAGCCTGACAGTGAAGTGATTCAAATGCCAACCAGCCATCAAGGCAAGGCAGCATAAGCGATATCCCTGCTTTCTTTGGGAGCTGGCTGGACTCTCCTCATCATCTGCCGCGCAAACACAAACAAAGAACCCGACCGCATTGCAATGAATCAATAGCCTGGCCCAGTTGAGCCTCCTGCAATTCGTCCCCCTCACGATCCCATTTCTCCCGCCACCTCTAACTAAGCGCTTGACGTCGACGACCCCTCGATAGCTCCCATCCCAGGCCCGCCCCAAACGCAGCATCAACAAGGCGGCTGAGCCTTGCTTATTGGTGACGACGAGTTCTTTCAGACCCGACCCTCTGCACCACCCCACCCGAACCTTACATACCATCACGACTCATATGCCCTCCAAATTACGATAAACAAATTTGGTCCGTCGACATTGCTATCAACTTGGCGCAAACCGCGCTGTGGCGCCAGCGTGAGCCCGAGACAAGATGGCTGCTTTTGTCAGAGTCTCGGGGCCGCCAAACAGTAACTTCCTCGTGGGATACCCCGGGATTTCGGCAACCCTTGTAAGCTTTGCTTTTGTTGTATGGTCTCCAACTATGCCTTTGCTAACAAAATTGTCTACAGCCTCGCATAGAAGGCAAGGTCGAGATCAGACCCCTCACTGGCATTTCTGCGCCCGTTGCGATATCTCTGGTTCGGGTATGTTTACAGAGACGAGAGACGATACACCCCTCCGCCGAGTCGATAGCAAAGAAGCACCTGGGGACGCCGAGGAGGGAAACTACAGATGTGGTGGGCAAAGAGCTATTATTATTCCGATGTCCGGCTGGGAAGGAATCAGAGAGTGTGGTGCTGATGGACCTACCGTTCGTGCTGTTCATACCATTTGGGAGAGGAGGAGAAGAGACGAACAGAAGGATACCTCCAGCTTCTTTACAGCTTCCAAGTCGAACGGCCGAGACATTTTACGAGTTGGTAGTGACGGTTCAGCAAGGCCAGGAACAGAAGAAGTTCGCATTTCCAGTCCCGATACAGAGATACGATACCCTTTCAACATTTGGAATGTACAATCGACCTGAAGCTGCGGAGAAGACATCAGATCATCTGGTTACATTAGGCATATCACTACCTCGTTGGTCGTACGGTCCCTTGGATCCTGTCAGTGTTTACATAAAGCTCTCACCAAATCCGGATTGGATGAGCAAGGCCAAGAAGGTCACGATTCAGAAGATTACAATTGGGATAGAAGAGGAAATCACATATAATCCTGAAGGAGACGAGCCAACGAAAAAGGTTAACCGTATAGCCAAGCATACACAAACCGTCGGGGTCAGGATGCCCGAGGCCGGATACTTTACTAATCTTGGCCTCGTTTTTCCATCCAAAGAGCTGCGGGACCCAGAAGGAATTATTCGGCGTGGAAAAGCTGCATTTCCGATGTATGCGGTCAATTCATTCACCACTACAGGAACTCTTTACAAGATTGAGTTCTTCCTAATAATCAAGGTATTTTGTATTCTCCATGTTATTACTTCTCCACTAACACATGCAGGCACATATGTCCGCAGCAAGAGACATTGTCCTAAGGCAACCCATTGTGGTATGCCCACTCGATCAACAGGACTGTAAAGAGGAAATGGATGCAATAGAGCAAGCCGCTAAGGATGCATCACACGTCGATCCACACAATCCAATGTTACCAGCCTGCACGATAATCCGAGCAAACGACAAAGATGCACTACGAGCCTTGGGATGGACGATGGTGGGAGGGCAACGAAAGATGGTAATTGAATGATGAAATCAATCTTCCGATACCGATTTGTTTAGGTCACCACTCGCGACGACGAATATTTTGATTTTCCACGCTCTGCTTCTTTGTCGTCCCGACAGAACAAAACTTCGCATCGAAGCAACTATTGGTTTTCAATCACGTCAAGCACAGTGGCGGTGGGAGAAATTTGGCGTAAAGCGTCGAAAGAAGGCCGATGTACCCATATATGCTGGGGAGTCAACAACCAGGTTTTTGAACTTTGGATTGAAGAGATAGTGACATGTGCATGGAATATTGGGTGGCAGCGAGTGAGATATCCAGGATAAGCCAAATCACTGGATACCATTTTCAGGAGGAGTTTCTACTTAATCAAGTTGACGGAGAGCCTCATCAATTTTGAGGGTTGAATATGATGGATGGACTAACAGGTTAGATGATCATGAGCCAATGACCATTCTTGTACGACGTACGTTTTAGTTGATAATGAGACGAGATGAGATGGCAGTCTACGATAGTCGAGGAAGACAAAATGATACCAAACAAACATATTCAAGACATGTTCACTTTTTGCCTTTTGCGAGATGCGTTTGCGGGGTTCCCCAATCTTGTGGATGGGAGACCCAGCTGAGAAGAAGGCTGGGCGAAAACTTGTTCTTGTGTGACTGGCTACCTTTATCCACCGAACAGCTGCAGTCAGTCCTCTCCGAACAGATTTCATCGATCCCTCAGTGCAGAGTCCAAAATTCCCCTCCCCTCCAGCGAGATCCAACATGGGAATTCATACAGACAGAAAGAAAGCCTAGACTGCTGCAAGTCTGTAAGTATCCTGCAGCGAATGAGACCCGTGATTGGGTATGCCGGCCGAGATCTAAGCGCCGGAAAGATGTAATTCTTCTATGGCACATTTCACCTGAAAATACTTCTTGGAGCGATCGCGTCGCAAAGTATCAAAAGTCTCTCGTAACTTAGGATCAACAGGCTGTCTCTTTTCCTGTCCAAATGGCTCCTCAAGATGATACCTCGTGACGAGGACAATGGGTAGATATCTTTGGTGGATCTCCAGACTGTATCCAATTACGGCAGTCTAGACTCTCTCAAATACATGCCCAAATACGGTCTTGGCCTGCGTCTTTTACTCCCGCAATTGGTCGGTTACAATATCCCAATCCATCGTTAGTCCGGCCATTTCATCCCTTCTCACGCAATTTTGCGCATGGCAATTTAAGTATTCAAGTAGGGAAATAAGGGCCCAAAAAAATACTCACATTTTTGGGTTTGGAGTCATGCTAGATAGCTTGTCGTGCTCTGGCGGGGGTTCGAGATTGGGAAGAGTGGTACGGCTCGCTTGGAAGGAGCCAGGCTTCGCTAAGAGTTGTTTAGATCTGGTGGAGAGGGAGGGGGAGAGGGAAGTGGACTTGAGTGAAGTTGGAACCTACTCCAGCCTTGTTGTGGAGGAAAGAAATGTCAATTCAATAACCTTGACTTTGGAAAAATTGGAATCTCATACCAGAAATCGGACCTGTGGTAGTCAAAAATTGTGGTCTCTTACGGTATCCTCACCATTTGCTGCGTCGCCTGGTTGCTCATGCTCGGACTGCCCAGGGTCTTGTAGTCTGTGTAGGCGTATTCCGCCATCAATATCTGCTTCGACTTCGTTGAAGTGGTAGTCCAAAGCTGTATCTAGTCCACCGGTAGACTTGATTTTACATGCTGATGTTATGTGTTTGCCTCCTCACTTCGAGCACTCGTCCCCATCAAATGACCGTGCAGTTGGCGTTCCTTACATTAGGAGGATGGGCAAATGTTGATGGTGTGACCTGTAGTCTTATGCTTTTGACACCATGGGTCCTTGCCATTGATCGTGTCATGATCTTCGACTACACTGTAGTGCGCCCACGAGTACGACGAAGCCAGGCGAACCAAGATGAGTTATGAAGAGGCTCAGGATGAGTCTCGCTCAAGCGAAATTGCGATGGCTCCAAAGATGAAGATGACTCTTAGACGGATGCGGAAGTCCACAGAAACGATGAAGGCATCCAAAGAAGTCAGGAATACTGTACAGACATTTAGGGCCAAGTGGGAAATTTCTCTTATGTTTCACGAAGAACAAAGATGAAGGAAAGATTTGGTTTCAGGCAAGTGGAACTGTACATGGCATTTCCTCTGCATGTTTATTTGTTTTGCAAAGGAACCAAACAACCGGCACTTATTTGCGCTGTCGAGAAGTCCGCGGCACTACTATCAAAGAAATACACATTAATATACAATTACTGTAGATCAATTCTTGTTCTTCGATTAAGAAGAAAGGAGCCACAGGTGAGTAGATTAAGATACTTTAGACAGGGGGACTTCAAACAAAGGATGTCGGCTCCTCGCTTAGCCCCACACGGAAAATTCCATCTCAACCACCAGTGACAAAACTTCAAACCCTCACAAATCTCTTGAAATAAAAGCTACAAACTCAAAAAAAGCATCAAAAGAATGCTGAGAGCCGCAGGATTCGAACCTGCGCCACGAATGACTGCGGATCGTTTTGGTTCCTTTGCAGGACAAACCTAAACACAGCGCCTTAACCACTCGGCCAGACTCCCAAAGGCATGATTTGGTAATCATTGATGGAAGATTTTCCTTATCTCATTACAAGAAAGTATTAACAAAAGTGCGCACAAGTTAGCTGCTTTTAATCCGTATTTTCATAGGCGTGGGCGTGGTGGTGTGGACCGGCTTGTGTCACCAGGTGGCTAGCTGATGTCGGTGTGGGGCACGAATATTCCTTCAAGATGATCCTAGCCCGAGGGCCTATGAACTACTCTGCTTCTTGCTCGCTTATTCTGAGCGTTCAGGCAGAGCCCGTAGGTGCTCAGTACCGACAAAAAAAAAGCAGTAAAATTGTAATAGAGCTCAAGTTCTAGATGACCATGAGGCGGGTCCCAGGCTCTCATTCACATGTTTAGAACTCGCTTATATAAAGCACTGTGTTTCGGCCCGCAGCTGACACGGACGATTACGAGCACCAGCGATTAATACTTAGCCCTGAAAAAGTATTCTGTGCTTGAGATTTGGTCTCGCTACGAGATGTATGGATAATGCCTTGGTTTGGCGCATTTTGATTTTTGAAATGCTTCTACCGAGTACCCGTGCTATCGACAAACACGCATTGACTCCAGGCCTAATGTATTAGAAGTGGCAGTCACTGAAATACAAAGATACCTCCAAGTTGTCACGACATCGCCTTGTAGATATCTAGAAGCTGGGAGTGCGAACTGACTCCAATTCCAAATCCAACCACCACCAAACGCCGCCCTTTCATATCCCCTGACGAAGTAGCCGAATAATTCCAAACAAAGATCCGAAGTGGAGATAAGCTCAACATGGGACCCATGCATTTTCAATTGCTTGAAGATTGAGCGATGAGCTCGTCGATGTCTCCAGGCCATGCCGACTGCTTCGCTTCGGCCATAAACACTACTGGGAATTAGCCGAGCCACTTCACAAAATTACAGGAACGGGATACTCAAAGACTAGACTTACCAGCAGGATCTTGATCCAAGTATATAATGCCCTTCTCGCGTAACTTCCTCAAGGCATCCACAGTCCAGATAACACAATCATAGCCCTCTAGATTTGGATTGCCCTCTCCCTTACTCAACTGCCCCAAGAGTCTTTCTCTATCCTCTTTCCCGATAGGGACCTCCTTCAATGATTCTCTGATCTTATCCAACTCTTCGCCATGCGAGCACGGGTCGATGCTTCCAATTTCTTGAGCATAGAAAAGCGACTTTGCCGCGCCGGGATTACGCGACGTCCGCTCTCGAAAACTCCACTTGCCTGACCTGGCGTGTTCTGTAAAGTTACCTTTGGACGACTCGATGGCTGAATCGTGCTCGACGTGGAAGAGGATTCCTGAGACTGGATTGTTTGGTGTTGAAGGATTGGTACAGAGTATGCCGCGATGCTGGGAGGTGAGTCGGATGTCTTGACGAAGTTCAGATAGTGGTTAGAAGAAGAGGATAACGTACACAATCATCTACTTTGGGTCTGTTGAAAGTAAGGTAAATCGTGCTGCTTGAAATCTCATTCGGTTCTGGAGCCTTGCTTGAAACGGCCATTTTGTCGTCCATGGTTGCACCCGGGCGGCTCAAAGGCACGTCTGGCGTGAAACTATATTTAAAGAAGATTATCGGATTATCATCAAGTTTAAAGTACATTTTGAAGAGCGGAAGATATATATAGCACATTCCTAAGGTTATTCGAGGCCATGCACAACAGCAAAAGTTGGTATTCATCCAGGAAGAGGCAAATGGACGTTCTTATCGATTTACGCCTTCAATATGACCTCCAACAAGATTTCCGTCCACTTCCATCACGGCTGACCAGAATTGAAAGCACAGGAGCATTGAGAGAGGGCGATCCTCGATACTGAAAGTGTAGGGGTAGTAGCCTGCATCTGCGAAGTCCTGGCCAATACCAGACCGCCGGGTCATCATGTGACCTCGAGAGCTTGCTTGTTCACCGGAATATCCTGCCGGGGAAACCAACATCACATCCGTTGTCGCTTTGATCAACAAGCTGTCTGCCTGTCAAGGCTCTCAGATGTTAGAAATTTGCCTTTGATCGGCCTGGAGGACGCCTCGTATGGAGCAGATGAGTCAACAATTCCCAAAAAGGAGGCGAAGGCGCTGATACTTCAAATAATGAGCTGATATAGCGACGCCTCCACTCCCGATTCCGTTCCCGCCCCCATATGCATGGGATAAGCACGGCTGGCGTTATCTCTGTCGTATTTGCTGTAGCTTAACTGTCTTATGCCGCACACAGACTCAAATGCGAGAACGCCGCTGTACGCCCGCCAACGATGCCGCATTAACATGTTGATGCCTGGCGGTAAAAGGTTGCATGAAGGTCAGGAGGACTATGTGCATCGACTTTGTAGCATAGATCCGCAAGTAATCCTACTCCTGTTGTCAAAAGGGGCCTTTCAATTAACACAGCTGCCAGCCTGCAGAATTGGCAGACTCGAGAAACCGGAGCAACCAGAATCCAGCCAAATCTCTCACCCCTGGAACATCTGCAATACTGCATCTTTCAGAACCTCTAACAGACCAAGCTGCATCCACAGACTTCAATGGGGCTCTGTTTATCACAATCCACTTGGATATCACCAATGTCGCAGCTCATCGTGCCGTAATCGCAAAACCGTTGTGTTCTGCAATACTGTAATCTTTTAGTCGCAAATAAAGTGAATTGGAGGGTGGTCATGAGTAAAGTAACATCTCTTTCATTGAAACCCTGCGAAGAGCCTCCCCCCTTTCAATCTATTTTTCACTACCAGGCCCAAATGCCGGACGGATGTACTATGTCTCTACTGGGAGTCGAACAACTTACCCCCACGTCATTAGAGTAGATGACCAATAAGATGCTGCTTTCGAGACCTCGAGATTGAGATCGAGAACCAGAATCAGGAGACTAGAATCGTACGTGATCTGCTATGTTTTTCGAAGACTTGCCGCGTAGTGATATAGGTGGACGGACCTAGGTTCTTATCTGAGCGACAATTGACCTTGTTCAATGTGACTTTGAGCACCAGACGGGATTTGTATTGAACTGATAAGTCACCAAATGATATGCACTGGCCTTTTTCTACTGTTGTCTGAGATACCTCTTGCAGGAAGGGAAAAGCCAATTGGGATGCAGAATCTGTATTGGCCGTTTGGTAGTTCTTGGCCTCGAGCGGCCGCAGTGCCCCACCTTGTCGCAAGGCTGCGTGCGACTCACAAAAAGTTCACAACGCGTTCGACGTCAATCTCGATCCTCATCAACAACCACAGTTCACATCGCCAACAAAGATGGCAGACGTTGACGAAGATGCAGCACTCACTGTAGGTTACAATCAGCCGACAGAAGACCACGATCCCGAAGACGAAACCCAAGATTTTCGCTTTCTCGCATTTCTGAATGCAAAATCCGGTCAGCTTCCAAAGCGAGGGGAAAAGGACTTCGAACCTCATGGCACAAAACACCAAGATGGCATATTAGAAGCTAGCAGGCAGGCCATGCACGATGCATTGGCCCATACGAGAATACACACCGACAAGAATTACAACCGTGGGTTCTACTATGGGGAGGAGGGGTTGAGTCGAGATGAAGCTGTTACCAAGGACTGGACGCAAGACTTGGAGGATGACCATTGCGTCGTCTTAGAGTCGGCAAAGGGACCTTTGTTCAAGGGAATGGGAAAGTGGACAAAGGGAAAGGCTCGTCCGAGTTTGTGGCTATTACCTGAAGAGGCTCTCTTTCTGGTTGAGCGGGGCAATCTGGATTTATGGTGGCCAGGACGGTCGTCTTTCAAAGGTGTCCGAGAGGACCCTTCAGAATTTAAGGAAGAGACGAGCAACGTTTCCGATGAAGAATCGAGAGATGAAGGTGTTCCTATGAGTTTGCAAGCTGCGTTTTCAATATTTATCGGAAATGATAACGAGAGAGGCAAGATCAGCTTGGAGCGATATACAGTTTACGCACATCTCAAGCGTATGGGCTATATTGTGTTGAGAGCTCCGGAATGGGACCCAAGCAAGCCAGGCGAGATACCAACCTATGACAATATTCCTTGGCCAGAGTCTACAAGCATCTTCAATCGGCTATTTGGAAAACTCTTCGCTGAGAAGGAGGTTGAACATTCTGCATATGGTCCTTTGGTGAAGCCAGGAATGTACCGATCATACAATTCAATCTACAAACAACTCGCCATCATTCCAAGACACAAACCATTTCCAGTACCAACGAACCCGGCACCTCCACCAGAAGATCCTTATAGAGTGGTATTTTTGTTGTGGAAGCCCAGTAGAATCCCCACATTTGCCAAAAGCAACCCTGGCATCCCAGACTTCCGGGTTGCCGTTGTGGATGCACGATCAACTTCTGTGCCATCGCTAACGGAGGTTGTCTCTTTACTAGAAAGTACACCGTGGGATCCTCCAAATCCGACACTGCCGGGTTTCAAAGGCCCTGGAAAGCTTTATCAAAGATTGAAGCATGGATGGCGCAATGTCGTATTGGCAGTCATTGACCAGGGAGTTATCAGCTATCTGCGACTAGGCGAGGTTGCCTTCGGAGAGGAAAAACTTTATGAGCGATTCGATGCTGGAACTAGTCCATGGCGTGGGAAGAATTCGGGTGGTGGACGTGGCAGAGGCGGTGCAAGAGGCAGAGGGAGAGGGAGAGGCAGAGGTAAAGGGCGCAATTAGGCATGTGAAGAGAGGAAAGCGAGGATAAAAAGTGAAATGGAGGTGCCGAGAGTCAAAATCAAAAGCGAAGGTATGAGAGTTGATGCATCCAGTGCATCCAGTCAGGTCATAGCCAACTGCGTCAAATCATGCGTGGGAGTTACTGTAAAGTATTATGTCGGGATTAGCACATTAGATTAATGAAGCGGTCTTTGCCTCATTTAGCATTTCAAGGCTTGGGGCCGAGCTCTTGAGGTGTCTCTATCATGTCGGCTACCGGCAGGTTGACAAACAAAAGGCTCACTGGTTCGTATTAAAGCATAATAGCCTGTGCGCAGGGTAGAACAGGGCAGAGCAGAGTCTAATTT